GTAAAACAGATAATGAGAAAGAGGTGACTAATTTTACTTCAGTGGCATGAGTGTGGTGGCCCTCATAAAGAATGTCCCCTTTTTGGACCACTGCATTCCCAGTCTGGGCGTAGTTCCCGGCAGCCGACTGCAGTGTTTCCAAGCTTGTACTTGCCCTAGGTTCAAGGATCCTGCTTCCACCTGCCCCTGCCATATGGGCAGATCCCTTAAGGTCTTAAAAAAATCTAAATCGGGGATAATATTAGCACCTGCCTTTAAGGGTTGCTGTAAATGTAACTCTTCACGGGAAGAACTTAGCACTGTGCCTTGGGACTCGGTTCATGTTGAAGAAAGGCCAGCGCTCATGGTCTCACAGCAGGGGTTCCTTAAGTGTTGGTGGGCGAATCAATGCAGGTATGAGCCAGCTTCGTGGCCCAGGCCCCTATAACAGAGGAGAGGGCAAGCGTCACGTCAGGGACGATGTCGCTAGCTAAGGAGCAGAGCTGGGGTGTGAACCTGGGCTTGTCCGAGTGTAAAACCTTAGCCTTTATGCCTGGGCACCTACTGTGGTGCCAGGCCTTTATACACTGCCTCAGAAGGGCTTTTAAGATTTGAGTCATTTTAAAACACATTTTTGAGTCCAAAGAAACCTATCAATCCAGCAGCCTCCACGTTGTAAGGTGGACAAACTGTTCAAAACCACGTGGGGCAGTGCTTTCCGATAAACAAGCATCCCCTCCCCTCCTCCTTGAAACTCACATTTAAACATGATCAGAGACTTGAGGGCGCTTCTTAGGCCTTTATGAGTCTTTATGGTTTTAATTATAGAGCTGTCTTCCCGAATTAATAGCATCCAGCCGTATTGGAAATGAAGCCAAAGAAGAGAAGATTTGGAAGTAGTAGCAGATCCACCCAGGAAAACTTAGTTTTGTTGCTCAGAAAGATCGGGTTGAATCAGGAAGGAAGAATTAATGAATTATTTCTGTTTATACTTGCCTTCCCCAAACCGAAAGTTTAATTTTAGGGTGGTTGGGGGTGGGGGGGTCTGCTTCAATTATCACAGGTGGTGAGGGAAATTGGATTTGCATTTTCACAAGATGAATTCCGTGGGCCTTCATACCAGGAATGCTTTCCCAGACTAACTTCTGATCAAGGGCTAAATGCAGCAGGCGGACAATTAGCCTTGAAAGAAGTGCAAACAGAAGCATAATTAACACAATTGCTGATGCTTCTTCCTGCTGGGGACATCTGGGCAGACTGTTAACCATAAGTCATAAGCCAAAGGTCTA